GGACAGAGGTTTGAAACCAGCTTGGGCAGGAAAAGTCCCTGAGACTCTTCTCTCCAATGAACCACCCAAAACGCTGGAAGCCGAGCTGTGGGACAACACCCAGGCCCTGAGTTCAAGGCCCAGGATCCACACAAAACAAAACCAAAAGGATAAGAAAGCCAAGGGACAGTCCTGTTCCCTAATTGTCCCTCCCCCTGGGACCCAGCTGAGTCCCTGCAGGACCTGAGTCTCTGGGGGCCCGGCTTTTGCCCCCAGCCTCTGCCCCACTTCCCCTTTTAGGGGTATTTTTAGCTGGGTGTAAACAGCTCCCATGCCACGCCCGCCAGTAAGTAAGCAGTGCAGTTTTGGCAAGGGGGGGAGGGCTGCTGCCCTTTGACCTTCCCTGCCCCCCCCCCCGCCCACAAGCCTGCCTTTGGGGGTTCCAGCTGCCTCCAGGGCCAGAAAAGGCAGCCTCTGGACCCCCAGTCCCTCCTCAGCCCACCTCCCCGACCGCCTGGACTCCGAGAAAGGCCAGCCTGCCACCACGGCCACTGACCTCAGAGCCTGGGCACCGTGCCCAGCCGTGCCCCGGACCCCAGCGCAAGGGCTGCTGGGAGCATGGTTAGGGCAGGAAGTCAGGGACTGTGGATCCCGTGGGGATGGGTGACAGTTGGTGTCCCTGGGGAGGGGGGGGGGTTCGTGAAACCTAGCCCTGCCCCCTGTGGATGCATTGCGGCCTGCCTTCCGCGCCTCTTCTAGTGTCACTCATTCGTTCACTCATTCATTTGTTCACTCAGCAGCTGGCATTATGGGCCCCTGGGGGGGGGCCTGGGCTGGACTTTAGATGCCCCCCACCCTCCGCCAGAGGCCAGGCCAGGGGGGTCCTGGAAGCACTTTGCTGAGCGTACCCTGAGGCTGGGCAGCCAGGTGCACAACTCGGGGACCAAGGAGGAAATGAGCCAAAACTGTGCCTGGTGTTCAGTTTTATTTTCAGGGGGAAGGTAATAAATAGAAGCATGTGGCTTTTAAAAAAGAAAGAAAAAAAAAAGTGGGGAGGGGCTGGGGCTGCTGCAGACTCTTTTTCTCCAACTGACCAGCAAAAGCTGAAAGTGGAGCTGTGGCTCAAGTGGTAGAGCTCCAGCCTTGAGTTCGAGTCCTAGTACTGACACCACAAAGGGGTGGGGATAGGGTCAAAGGAGGACCAGTTAGCAGAGATGAGGTAAAATGTACGTGTTCCTTGAACTCGATTCCTCTCTTCTTCAGCCGAGCACACTCTGCCAGCCTCTTGCTGTGTCTTTCCAGAGATAATTGGGCATACTGGTGGAATTGGGGTTGTGTTACATGTTGTATTGCTTGCTGTGGGCTGTCGCTCTACCACTTGAGCCACGCCTCCACTTCTGGCTTTTTGGTAGATTAGAGATAAAAGCCTCACAAACATTCCTGCCTGAGCTGGCTTTGAACAGCGATCCTCAGATCTCAGCCTCCTGGGTAGCTGGGATGACAGGCGTGAGGCGCGGTGCCCGTGCATCGTTCCTTGTTGCTTCAAGTGTTGATGTTTGGCATTCTGGCCAGTTGTTTTGGACGCTGTTGTGTTTCCTGGTGGGAGTGAGGTGGAGCGGCTCCTGGGAGCCCTCTCCGCCTGAGCCACGCCCCCTGCTCTGGTTCTAATGGGGTCTTGACTGCCTTTTGCTTCAGGCCTCTCCAGCAGAATTATAGAATTATAAGCCTGTTCTTCAGTTTCTGGGCTTCTGTGATCCGCCTCTCAGGCTGCCGGTCATGGCTGGGACCATAGCCGCACACTGTGGTGTCTGGTGTCCGGCTGCACTGTGGAGATGAGTTCCCCAGGCTAGCCTGGCTGGGCGATCCTCTGAGCTCAGCCTCCAGCAGGGGACAGGTTCGCACCCCGGCGCCCAGCTGTGGATTGGGAAGAGGACCCCAGCTGATCTCACACTCCGAGTCCCGTTCTCTGTTGCCAAGTAGCTGGGATTCCAGGCGTGAGTCACCATGCATGCCCAGGCCTTGGATTGCTTCATTGATCGACTGACTGATTGACAAGATATCACCATATAGTCTAAGCTGGGCTGAAACTCATGATCTTCCCAAGTCCTGGGATCACAGGCGTCTCCGGCCCTGCTCCACCAGCAGCCATCTTCCAGTGACTTGACGGGTTTTGCTGCTTTATTTACTGTGTGGTGGGGGTTCCCTGCAACCCGTTCAGGCCCTGTCAAAGCTGGGGCTGGGCTGTTCTCTTTTGAGGGTGGGCGAGCAGGTATCTGGTGATAGGTGTGTCCGTCCCCCCTCGAATGGACCAGGAGCCTGTCCCCCATCTCTTGTTACTGAAGACAGTCCTGCAGGGACTCGAAAGAGCCCCAGCTGCACCCACAGATCGCCGAGTGGGAATCACTGGGCTGGGGAGGGAAGGAATGACAAGGCGGGGGGGGGGGGGGTGGGCCAGAGAAAAGCAAGAGGTACCAAAAGCCAGCAGATGGTGACAGTCAGGGCCAGGGCCAGATCCCGGTGAAGGGCCCAGACTGGTATATGGAGGCCAGCTCTCAGTATGTGTGTATGTGTACGTGTGCAAGTGCATGGGTGCATGCGCATGGGTATGTGTGCATGCAGGCACTAGTACTGGGGCTTGAACTCGGGGTCTCATGTTATTACTTCAAGCACACCTCCACTTCCAGCATTTTGGTTGTTAAGAATCAGGACTGGCTTTGAGTCTCGATCCTTAGATCTCAGCCTCCTGACTAGCCGGGATTACAGGTGTGAGTCACCAGCAGCACTGGAAGGAGTGGACGCTTGTGGTGTTGCTGGGCAGCTCAAGCAGAGGACTCAAGGTTCCCTTGAAAGCAGAACAGCCCAGTGGCTCACACCTGTCATCCCGGCTACTCGGGACGCCAAGATCTCAGGATCACAGATCAAAGCCAGCCTGGGTAGCAAGGTCCATGAGGGTTTTTGGTTGTTGTTTTTGTTTTGTTGGTTTTTTGTTTTGTTTTTTGGCTTGAACTCAGGGCCTGGGCACTGTCCCTAAGCTTCTTTTGCTCAAGGCTAGCACTCTACCACTTGAGCCACAGCCCCACTTTGGGCTTGTTCTGTGTATGTGGTACTGAAGAATCCAACCCAGGATTCATGCATGCTGCACAAGCACTCTACCACTAAACCACATTCCCAGTCCCAGTCCAAGGGACTATCTCCAGTTAACCACCAAAAAACCAGCAGTGGAGCTGTAGCCTTGAATGAAGAAAGCTCAAGGACAGTCCCCAGGCCCTAACCTCAAGCCCCAGGGCGCGCGCGCGCACACACACACACACACACACACACACACACACACACACACAGAGCCTCCTTGCCCTGTAGCCGGGGGTTTGGCCCGCAGCTCTCCGCCAGCAGCACGGGATAATAGTACCCCGTCCCCCATCGGTGTGACGCGCCAAGGACAGGCCCTGGCACCGAGTGCGTGCTCAGAAACCCGGCCTGTGATTATTTTCATTATTGCCATCAAGGCGGTGGGAGGCGGCGGCGGCAGCTGCGGGCCGAGGAGTGTTTGCAAACTGACAGCTGGAAGGATGACTCACAGTAGGTCTGCCTCCGCGCCTCCCGAGGAGCTTCCAGTGTAGAAGGGGCCGGGGAGGCAGGGGGGGGGATGGAGAGCGGGCAGAGCCCCCGGGCTGCAAAGGCGTGGAAGACGGGCCCCGCCAAACACAGAGGACCCCCCAACTCAAGCCCAGGCTGTGTGACCAAAGTGTCCAGGTCTATAAAAGTGGGGTAGAGGGCTGGGAAGGTGGCTCAGTGGTAGAGTGCTTGCCTTGCATGCATGAGGCCCTGGGTTCGATTCCTCTGCACCACATAAGTGATGCTGTGGCTCAAGTGGTAGAGCGCTAGCCTTGAGCTGAAGGGCTGAGGGACAGCACCCAGGCCCAGAGTTCAGGCCCCACCACCAACCAAAAATAAAATCGGGGTAGAGCTAGGCACCAGTGGCTCACGCCTAAAATCCTAGCTACTCAGGAGACTGAGACCTGAGGGTCACGGTTCAAAGCCAGCCCAGGCAAGAAAGTCAGTGAGGCTCTTATCTCCAGTGAACCACCAGAAAACTGGAAAGTGGCGCTGTGGCTCCAAGTGGTAGAGCGCTAACCTTGAGCTCAAGAGCTGAGGGATAGCACCAAGGCCAAGTTCAAGCCCCACGACCAACCAAAATAAAACTGGGGTGGGGGGGGGGGTGGGGGGGCGGGGGGGGGTAGCCCTGGTAGCTCACGCCTGTCATCCTAGCTACTCTGGAGGCTGAGATCTGAGGATTGCTATTTGAAGCCAGCCTTGGCAGGAAAGGCCATGACACTCTGGAGGTGTGGTTCAAGTGGTAGAGCACCACCCTTGAGTGGAAAAGCTCAAGGATGGTGTCTAGGCATTGAGTTCAAATCCCAGGACTGGCACACACACGAAAGGAGTGGGTAGGGAGAACTCCGGGGCCCCACCGTGGGCTGCTCGGTGGGCTGGCTTCTGGAATCACGCTCCTGGGCTGGTCCAGTACCAGGCAGCTCTAGAGTTGGGGTCTCCGTCTCCCCCACAGCCTGGCCTCAGGGCTCTCTCTGCCCCTGTCAGGACCGGTGGCGTGAGGCTCCAAAGCTTCGGTCGGTGACGCAGGGCTTCGAAGCCCAGTCTGCCGGTCGGCTAGGAGTGTGTGTCAGAGGTGGTGGCCCTGGCCACGCTCCCAGCCGAGCCCCCCAGGCCACTCTGACTCAGAGTCCAGTCCTGGGCCGTAGCAGGGGCAGTGGGATCCACAGTGCGCATGTCCTGTGTCCGCCGTCCGCCAGGCTCAGCGCTTCCCCCCCCTGCCCCCGGGCTTGGCACTGCCCGCCAGGCACTGGTCCTCCAGTCTCCATACAGTATGTACCCTGGAAGGCCTCGGCCCTCCAGCTCGGCCCTGACCTGGGGGCGGGGTACACACAACCCCCATCCCAAGGCCCCCCTGGACAGCACGGCCTGGTGTGTAGGAGCTCTCCCCTCACCCTTCCTTCTCCCCACAGCTCTGATGGTACCAAGTGGCCGGTGGGCCTTCCTCTGAGCCGGGGACCCCAGATCTCCTACGAGGATGTCAGCAATACAGGTACCACAGGGAGGGAGATCGGGGGGCACTCCAGCCTGCTCCCCCTTTCCCAGACCTCTGGCCCAGCCCAGGTTTTCTTTTTCTATTTTTTTTCTCTTGTGCCAGTCTGGGGGCTCGAACTCCCAGCCTGGATGCCATCCTTAAGGTTTTTACCGTCAAGGCCGGCGCTCTACCACTTGAGCCACATCTCCACTTCTGGCTTTTTGCTGGTTCATTGGAGATAAGAATCGCAAACTTTCCTGCCTGGGCTTTGAGCCTCGATCCCCAGTCTCGGCCTCCTGAGTAGCTGGGGTGACAGTTGCTTGAATCCAGTGGGATTCCTGCACTCGGGGCTGGAGGGCGGGCGGGTGGGTGGAGACTTCTCAAAGGCCACGCCCACCCTCCCGCCCCCGGCCCCGCAGGCCGTCTGGCCGTCTGGTACGGAGTGTATAGCGAAGTACAACTTCCACGGCACCGCAGAGCAGGACCTGCCTTTCTGCAAGGGAGACGTGCTCACCATCGTGGCCGTCACCAAGGTACGGGCGTCGCGACTCGACCTCCCCACCCTACCCCAGATGCCCTGGGCGAGGCTCCCTGCAGGGGGGCCAGAGCCTGACAGTGTCCCCGACTGCCCGCTCCCCAGGACCCCAACTGGTACAAAGCCAAGAACAAAGTGGGCCGTGAGGGCATCATACCAGCCAACTACGTCCAGAAGCGGGAGGGCGTGAAGGCGGGCACCAAACTCAGCCTCATGCCGTAAGTACCTGGAAGAGGGCGGAGTCTCCCAGCACACGGGGAGAAAAGAGAAAGTGGTCTGCCTAGAAGAGCATCAGGAAAGCCAGGTTCAGAACGAGCGCCTGGCCCGTAGGCGTGGGCTTTTCAGGGCCCGGGATGCGCAGGCTGCAGCTCAGAGCAGGCGCCGGGCAGCAGCCTCTTGGAGCAAGGGCGCCCCATGGGAAGGACTGAACCGGGGGCCCTGGGGGCGGCTGGCGCGGGGCGGAGCCTTCCAGCCACGGTGGAACCTGGCCCTGCCCTGCTGCAGCTGGTTCCACGGCAAGATCACGCGAGAGCAGGCGGAGCGGCTTCTGTACCCGCCGGAGACAGGCCTGTTCCTGGTGCGGGAGAGCACCAACTACCCAGGGGACTACACGCTGTGCGTGAGCTGCGAGGGCAAGGTGGAGCACTACCGCATCATGTACCACGCCAGCAAGCTCAGCATCGACGAGGAGGTGTACTTCGAGAACCTCATGCAGCTGGTGGAGGTGAGTGGGGGCAGCCCGGTGGCCACACCCCTGCATCCCCAGACCTGGCCCTCCCCCCAGCCCCCTCCCTCCGGGACGCTGGCATCTGATCCTGGATTCCAGCTCTGGTCGCCCCAGGCAGAGCACAGGCTTCATGCCAGGGCTAACCCCACAGGGAGCGTGGCCTCGTCCCTGGCCCCGAGTGGAATCTGAGCCAACTCCTCCCAAACTCACCTCCAGTCACAGAACCGTGTGTGCACTTGAGTTACAGCCGGGCGCTGGCAGCTCACGCCTGTAATCCCAGCTACTCAGGAGGCTGAGATGTGAGATCACAGTTCCAAGCCAGCCTGGATAGAAAAGTCCGTGAGACTCCTATCTCTAATAAACTACTTAGAAAAAGCTGCCAGAGCAGGGCTGGGAAGGTGGCTCAGTGGTAGAGCGCTTGCCTTGCATGCATGAGGCCCTGGGTTCGATTCCTCAGCACCACATAAGCAGGAAAAGCTGGAAGTGGTACTGTGGCTCAAGTGATAGAGCACAAGCCTTGAGCTGAAGAGCTGAGGGACAGCGCCCAGGCCCAGAGTTCAGGCCCCACGACCAACAAGAAAAGAAAAAAAGCCAGAAACGATGTTGTGGCTAAAGTGATAGAGCACTAGCCTTGAGAACAGACACAAGGACAGCACTCCGGTCCTGCGTTCAAGCCCCCCACCAAAAATAAATAAAATGAGCTGTGGCCTGGAGCTGATGGCTCATGCCCAAAATCCCAAATACTTGGGAGGCTGAGATCTGAGAACCATGGTTCAAAGCCAGCCTGGGCAGGAAGGTCTTATGAGATTTTCATCTCCAACGAACCACCAAAAAAAGCCAAAAGTGCAATGTGGCTCAAGGGGGAGCGTGCTAGCCCTGAGTTCAGGGCCCAGTACACACATGCACACACGTGCACACACAGGCACTTACCTGCCTCAGTGCCCAGGTCACCCCAGGCCCCTTTGCCCTCATGGGCGTGGCCAGGCCGCAGCTGGCATCGGGCAACCAGGGAGACACCTACAACTCCCCTGCCTCCTTCCCAGGTCGGCGGGGCCTGGGCGCCGCCCAAGCGTCAGCACCAGGCCCGCCTGTCCCCTCCACCTCCAGATGGCGGTGAAGTGGAGGGTGCCCTGGGAGGGGGGCAGGCCGCTCTCCCAGCTGAGCAGCTCTGGGCTGGGCGGCCCGGCCTCTGCCGCCCTCTGGTGGCGAGGCGTGTAAGGTGCATGGGAGTCGCGGGGGGCGGGGCCCTGATCTCCCTCCGCTCTGCCCCCAGCACTACACCACGGATGCTGACGGCCTCTGCACGCGCCTCATCAAGCCAAAGGTCATGGAGGGCACTGTGGCAGCCCAGGACGAGTTCTACCGCAGTGAGTGTTCCCCAAACCTGCCGCTCCCTGCCTCCCAGGCCCCCCCTCCCCCGTCCCCCTCCCTGCCTGCCTGTCCCTCCTCCCTTGGCTGCTCACCCACCCCCACCCCCACAGGCGGCTGGGCCTTGAACATGAAGGAGCTCAAGCTGCTGCAGACCATCGGGAAGGGGGAGTTCGGAGGTGAGTGCCGGGCCAGGGGACCCCTGGGGCAGACGGGGCGGGCAGGGTCCAGAGAACACAGCCTGGTGTTCCTGCAGACGTGATGCTGGGCGACTACCGGGGGAACAAGGTTGCCGTCAAGTGCATCAAGAACGATGCCACTGCGCAGGCCTTCCTGGCTGAGGCTTCCGTCATGACGTGAGCTGGGGCTGGGCTGGGGGGGCCGGGCTGGGGGGACGGGCCAGGGACCAGGCCAGGGGACGGGGGGTGACCGGCCGGCTCTGACCCCCGTGCCCTGCCCCAGGCAACTTCGGCACAGCAATCTGGTGCAGCTCCTGGGCGTGATCGTGGAGGAGAAGGGCGGGCTCTACATCGTCACGGAGTACATGGCCAAGGTGGGCGCCCGTCCCCCTGTACCCCACTTCCCCACACAGCCCCCCCCCCCACTGCTGTCACCAGCCTGCCTGCCTTACTGAATGACCGGACAAGTCAGCCCACCTCTCCGAGTCTGTTTCTCTGAATGTCACTGAGAGACTGAGCACGGGGGCCCTGGCGCCCCCGTGGGCTGGGGGGGGGGCTGGAGGGGGGATCTGACGGGGCGGTCATGTGCCCTTCCCCAGGGGAGCCTCGTGGACTACCTGCGATCTCGGGGCCGCTCGGTGCTGGGCGGGGACTGCCTCCTCAAGTTCTCGCTGTGAGTCATGGGGCCTGGTGGGGGGGCACTCCACAGGGTCACCCCAAAATCTGAGGGCCCCTGCAGCTGACACCCCCCTCCCCCCCCCCCAGAGACGTGTGCGAGGCCATGGAGTACCTGGAGGGGAACAACTTCGTGCACCGGGACCTGGCGGCCCGCAACGTGCTGGTGTCGGAGGACAACGTGGCCAAGGTCAGCGACTTCGGGCTCACCAAGGAGGCGTCCAGCACCCAGGACACCGGGAAGCTGCCCGTCAAGTGGACAGCCCCCGAGGCCCTCCGAGAGAAGGTGGGACCCTTCCCTGGAGCCCCCACAACCCTCCGATTCCCCTCCCTTCCCCCCCCACCAGCGATCTGACACCCTTTCTCCCTCCACACGGCAGAAATTCTCCACCAAATCCGACGTGTGGAGCTTCGGGATCCTTCTCTGGGAAATCTATTCCTTCGGGCGAGTGCCTTACCCACGGATCGTGAGTCCTGGCGAGGGGGGGGGATGCGGGGTGGTGGCTCCCCTCCTGCATCGGGCCCTAACTCCTCTCTCCCCCACACACACCTGTGCCCAGCCCCTGAAGGACGTCATCCCTCGGGTGGAAAAGGGCTACAAGATGGACGCCCCCGACGGCTGCCCGGCCGCCGTCTACGACGTCATGAAGAACTGTTGGCATTTGGACGCGGCCGCCAGGCCCTCCTTCCTGCAGCTTCGAGAACAGCTGGAGCACATCAAGACCCACGAGCTGCATCTGTGACTGACACCCGGGCCCACAGGCAGGGGCCGATCGGGGCCCCGGGACCCCACGCTGGGCCTGGACGTGAGCTGAGCCCCTGGCGGGCTGGTCGGCCTCTTGCCCCGACCCGGTCTGTTCACTTGGCCCCCAGGGGCCCACCCTGCCTAGGTCTGGCACCTTTTCTCATGGACCCACTTCTATAGGGCTTGGGGTCAGGGGGGCCGAGGAGCGGGAGGCAGCGCCCCCACTGTGGCCGGCCTCCTTCCTCGGGCCTCCTTCCTCTGGCCTCCGATCGCTCGCCTTCCATTGAGGTTTTAATTCCTTTCCTTTTTTTGAGACTTTTTTTTTTTTTTTTGGTGTGTTTATTTTTTATTAATTTTTCAAGAGAAGGAGAAAGAAAGCACCCAGCAAAATGGGCGTTTTACAAGAAGTACGAATCTTATTTTTTTCTTTCCCCGCCCCTCCGGGGTGGGGGGGGGGTGGATGGCCGATCGCCCCAGCCTCGTGTCCCCACCCCGTGTCCTGTGCCGCGTTTGCGCTTCACCGTGTCGCAGCCTGCATGCGCCCGAAGCAGGCGTCTGTCCTGTGCTGTCCCCCCCCCCCCCGCCATCCCCCCACCCCCGCCTTGTGAGATGGATCTCAATAAACCACGCCACGCGGCACCAGCGCCCGCCTCGGTGCCCCGCCGAGCCTGCTGTCTGCTCCGTTCCCCACGTGCCATCTTGTCCGTCCCTGTCTCTCGTGAGTGGGGCTGGGGCAGCATGGCTGCTTTGTGTCAGCTGCACGAGCGAGTGTCCTGTGTCCGACCGCCCATCCCTCTCCCCTCCAGCTGCCTTCTGGGCCTGGCACCAAGGTCCCTCAGGCTCTTGGGGGTGAGGGTGGGGGAGCATCCGGGGCCCTCCCCATTCATAGGCTGCTGTCTGGAGTTGTGCCCGCCCCTCCTGCTGTCACTCAGGACCACGGCACAAGGCTGGAGTCTCGGCCTGCCCAGGCGGGATGCCACAGCCTCTGGGCTGGGGATAAGAGTTGGGTCTCAGAAGATGGCCTGGGAGCCGGGCGCTGCCGGTGGCTCACGCCTGTCATCCCAGCTACTGAGGAGGCTGAGATCTGAGGATGGAGGTTCAAAGGCAGCCCAGGCAGGAAAGTCCATGGGACTCCTGTGTGCAGTGAACCACCAGAAAAGCAGAAGTGGTGCTGTGGCTCAGAGTGAGAAAGCGCTCGCCTTGAGCTCTGGAAAAGCTCAGGGACAGCACGCAGGCCCTCAGTTCAAGCCCCGCGAATGAAGATGGCATGGGAGGCTCTGTGGGGGCCTTGGTCCCCTAGGTGGGGTGGTCCTGCTGGACTGGAAGCAGAGGGGACCCAGGCAGCGCTCCACACCTCCCCTCACCCTTCCTGGAGCTCCAAGAAGACTGAAGAAGACATGCCATGAGCCGCCATCTCCAGTGCTCCAGTGACTGGGTGTGGTGGCTCACGTCTGTAATCCCAGCTACTCAGGAGGCTGAGATCTGAGGATCACAGTTTGAAGTCAGTGAGGCAGGAGAATCCACAAAACTCTTATCTCCCATTAACCAGGAAAAAAAACCCAAGTGGAGTTACGGCAAAAATGCTGAGGGGTAATGTCCAGGCCCCAAGTTCAATCCCCGGGACTGGTGTGCACACATTGTGCAGGGCGTGGGGGCCCCTCTCCTGAGTCACAGCCTCTCTAGGACCCCCATCCTCCTTAACCCCCTTGTGGCCCGGTCCCCTCTCATTCCATCTCCTGCTCCCAGGGCTCAGCCCTCCCCAACACACACTGCTAAGCAGGACTGAGAAGTAGATCTCAGTCAATCATCCAGCTGCGAGGATTGCATTCTTGCTGTATGCTGGCGGTTGCCTGGAGACCAGTGCTACCTGTGCAGGCCCCTTAGGCCAGGTGATCGCGGGACCTGGACAGCTGGAGTAGCCTGCGCTGGGAGGGAAGCTCAGTGTGCCGTGTCAGGATGGAGGGCTTCCTGGAGGAAGCGGTATTTGCACCTAGGGAAGGGCACACTTCCAGAGAGCCTTCCAGGACCTCGGAGGAAGGGGTATGGGGTCGGGGAGGGGGAGGTTACAGCAGCCTGGGTCTGAGTTGCCGGGCAGGGGCGGAGAGGGTGAGCAACAGGACAAGAGCCAGATTCGGAGCAAGAGAACGGCAGTGTTTCAAAGCAACCGCAGAGCCAACAGTCCGACTCACCCCAAAGCCTGGGTTCTGGGGGTTCCGGGCCGTAGGGCTCCTCTGAGTGAGGTAACTGGAGGGGGGGGATTTTGGTTCTATGATGGACATGCTGGGTTCCAGGGATGGCTTTGAACCTGCAGAGTGGTGCTGAGTTACACGTTGGTGCTCAGGAGGCTGAGCTCCAAGGCTCACAATTTGAAGGCAGCCTGAGCAGGAAAGTCTGTGAGACTTTTAGCTCCAATTAACTAGCAAACAAAAGCTGGAAATGAAGCTGGGGTTCAAGTGGTAGAGTGCCAGCCTTGATCAGAAAAGCTCAGGAAGCCGAGCACCAGTGGCTCACGCCTGTAATCCTAGCTACTCAGGAGGCTGGGATCTAAGGATCGAGGTTCAAAGCCAGTCCGGGCAGGAAAGTCCATGAGACTCTTATCTCCAATAAACCACTAGAAAACTGGAAGTGGTGCTGTGGCTCAAGTAATACAGCACTCGCCTTGAGCTGGAGTACAGGGACAGCGCCCAGGCCCAGAGTTCAAGTCCCATGACTAAAAAAAAGCTCAGGAACAGCATCCAGGCCCTGAGTTCAAGCCTCAGGACCGGCACCAAAAAATACCTCCTTTTTGCATGTCCTAAAATTACCCATTTAGAACCTTTCCAAGTCACTCTGTGGAAAGTCAGTGACAATCTTACCGAAGCTCAGAAAACACAGCTCTGGTTATGCATCTTGCCAAATGAGCGACAGGAAAATCAACCTTTATTTGGTTGAAAGATTGGAATTAGAAGCCGGGTGCCAGTGGCTTATGCCTGTCATCCTAGCTAATGAGGAGGATGGAATCTGAGGATCACAGTTCAAAGCCAGCCCCAGACAGGAAACTCTGTGAGACTCTCAGCTCCAATAAACTACCAGAATACTGGAAGTGGCGCTGTGGCTCAAGTGGTAGAGCGCTAGCTGAGGGACAGCGCCCAGACACTGCGTTCAATCCTCAGTACCAGTGTGCATGCACACACACACACACACACACACATACTGCCAAAAACAACAGAAGCCTACTTTGTTAAGGGAAGAGTCAAACACTGTGTAGGAAGCTGGGGACTGGTGGCCCATTGGGCATGCCCATCCATCCCAGCTACTCAGGAGGCTGAGATCTAAGGATTGCAGTTTTGGGTCAGTCTATGAGACTCTTACCTCCCCCAGGAGTGAATCACCAGAAAACTGGAAGTAGTGCTGTGACCCCAAGGGGTAGAGTGCTAGCTTTGAGTGAATAAAGCTTAGGGACAGTGCCTAGGCCCTGAGTTCAAGCCCCACGACAGACAAAACCAACAAAAACACCAATCCCGGATTTTCTATGAATTTATTCATAAAGGTTAGCATATTTCTCAAAAATAAGCATCACTACAGTACTATATTATTTTTTAAAAATTCTTTTATTATTATAAAGGGGATGTACAGAGAGGTTTCAGTTTCATAAGTCAGGTTTAAAGTACATTTCTTTTTGGACAGTGTCTTCCCCTTCCTTTGCTTTCCCTCCTTTCTGTTTTTTCCTCTACTCCTAGGGAAGCAGTACTGGGGCTTGAACTCAGGGCCTCACATTTTTGCTGTGTGTGTGTGTGTGTGTGTGTGTGTGTTCCCAGCTGGTGCTCTACCACTTGAGCCACACCTCCCCTTTGGGCTTTTTGCTGGTTAATTGGATAGCGCAGTCTCTCGAGTTTGTCTTCCCAGGCTGGCTTCCACCACAGATCCTCAGATCTCAGCCTCCTGAGCAGCTAGGATGACCCGTGAGCCACCAGTGCCTGGCTACTTCTAGCAATATTAATGATGATTCTCAAACCAAATCAAATATTCATTGTTCAAATTTCCCCGATTGTCCCATTTTCCCCACTGGTTGGCGGGTTAACTTTGGATTGCAAAGGAGATCTATGCATATTGCATTTATTTGCCCTTTATGTCACTTAGTTGTTAAGAATACAAACGTGCTGAGGGGGACAGGAAAGCGGAATAACACAGCCAGGGAGAGGAGGAAGCCACTGGAGTCCGTGGCTCACGTCTGTAATCCCAGCTACTCCAAAAGCTGAAATCTGAGGCTCCAAGTTCAGAGCCAACTGGGGCAGAGAAGTCTCTTGAGACTTCATCTCCAATTAACCAGCAAAATACAGGCCTAGAGGGGTGGCTCAAATGGTAGAGTGCCAGCTGTGAGCAAGAAAACTCAGCAGAGCTGGGCACTAGGCTCATAGCTGTCATTCTAGCTACTCAGGAGGTTGAGATCTGAGGATCGTGATTCAAAGCCAGCCCAATCAGGAAGTCTTGTGAAGCTCTTTATTTCTATTAAACTACTCAGAAAAAGCTAGAAGTGGAGTCCTGGCTCAAGTAGTAGAGCGCTAGCCTGTAGCTAAAGAAGCTCAGGGACAGCGCCTAGACTGTGAGTTCATGCACTTGCACGTGCATGTGCGTACACACACACACACACACACACACACAACCAAGAGACCTTCCCACAACAGGGTACTACAAGGTTTCTGTGCCTCCCTGGACACTGCCTCTGTCATCAGCTTCTAGAACCCAGGGAAGATGGCCAGGCCCAGGGACAGAGCTGAGGGAGGGTGAGCCGGGGCCAGCTGCCCATTCCCGCTGGAGGTGGAGGAGGTGGGGCCTGAGATCAGAACAGGATCCTGGCGGTGAGGAAGAGCCAGGGCCTGGCTGGTGCCCAGCGCCTCTCTGCCTGGCTGCCCGCCGCCGCCCAGCCTGGCAGCCGGACCTCAGCCCCTCACCATGCCTGGCATCTGCACGTCCACCCCGCTGCTCTGCCTGCTCCTCCTGTGCCCGGTCCCCCACGGCACGGAAGAGCTCCCTCCTCTAAGACGCAGGTTCGAATACAAGCTCAGCTTCAAGGGGCCGTGGCCTGGGGCGGGAATTCCCTTCTGGAGCTGCCATGGAGGTGAGGAGAAGGTCTCAGCCATGCCCAGGACCCAGGAGGGTCCAGGAGCCATGGCCAGGGAGGGAGTGGCAGGGGTGAGGCCAGGCTGGGGTGATGGGACCAGGGGTCCAGAACCTTCCAGGCGGCCCTTGTGTTCCAGTCATCAAAAAAAATTCATTCCCAGCCACCAGCTTCAGTTTTAACTTCCTGCCCCCCCCTTGTGTGTGTGTGTGTGTGTGTGTGTGTGCACGCACATTCGTGTGCACTCACCAATCCTGGGGCTTGAGCTCAGGGCCTGGGCGCTGTCTCTCAGCTCTTGGGCTCAAGGCT